AAGAAATTCAAGCTTTGAAAATAATATATTATTACGCATTATCAGGACTGTCTATTTTCAAATGTTTACAAATATGTAAGATCTCTATTATATTTTTCGCACTACAAATTTCATAATAGGTGACCCTTTCTTTGGTGATGTTAAAAGTTAGAGATTGTATACTACGAGGCTATTTATCTTCACAATTATTCTTGATCATTAGATGTCAAATTAGATGATTTGAGGTGTGTCACAAAGTTTGAAAAATTTTCTTTAGACTTTGAGTTTAGTTATACACTTACAACGACCCGATTGAAATTTGGCGGACAAGAGTTATTTGTATAAAAAATAAATGACATTTTTTTCTACATTTTAAGGTGCCAACCTTATATAAACTTTTTCCTTTTCTACGATTGACTTTTTTCTATTTTAAATTTGGGTGAAGTTTTTATAAGGTGTCAACCTTAAGCAATCATGATAAGGTGCACTTCAAAATCAAGTTGTAAGATGTATTTTAGGTGTCAAAAACTCTGATGATTGCCCTAGAATGTAGTTTTCACCCCTATGATGAAATTGAAAGTTTCAAAAATAGTGTAGATCCAACAAATCTATGAACACTTAAATATTTTAATAATGGACGGTTTAAATAATGTGTTGCATGATGTACTATTATTAACAATTGAAATTCAAATTTTGTTTCATATTTATACATATTGAAGTGGAGATGATCAATTGGAAGGTTTTCTAATAAGAAACAACCTTTTTCGATGAGTTTTGAGGTACACCTTACTTATACAATATAAGTTGACAACCTATATAAACTTTTGGAAAAATTACATACATATCCGTTATACTTTGCGTTATTATAGATGTACCAAATAGTTTCCGTTATTACATGTATGTTGTTTTTTACCTTTAATAAAGCAATTTTTTAAAAAAGATGACTTTACCCTTTTTCGGATGTTGAATAATCAAATTGGAGAGTTTTTCGGATGTTCAACACCGAAAATGTGACTACATAAGGTTTCTGGAATTTCGAATGTTGGATGTCCGAAAATGTCATATTTTCAAATGTTCATCATTCAAAAATAACTGTAAAATTCTAGAGACCTCCAATATTTCGGCCTATTTTCAGATGTTGGAGATCCGAAAAACCCTCAAATTCGGTTATTCAACATCCGAAAAAGGGTTAAGTCAAAAATTACGTTTTATAAAGTAAAAAACGGACATACATGTAATAACGTAAACTATTTGGTATATCTATAATAACACAAAGTATAAATGATATTTATGTAATTTTCTCTAAACTTTTTCTTTAATTTTTAGAAAAGTTTATATAGAGCCGAGGCTCTAACCAATCAACTTAGGGCCAACCTCAAAACTTTCACTAGAAGAGGTTATTTTTTACGCCCAAGTATCCTCAAATTTATCATCAAGATGCATAGACACAAGAAAAAAAATGAATTTTAAGTTTTAAAAAATAATACATCTTCAAACGTATTTTTGTACCATCAATTTTTAAGGTTTTCAAACTTTCGTAGATCTGCACGATCGACGTTAATTTTTTAAGCTTTAAATTTTAAAATTAAAGATAAAATACAGTTTAAGGCTATCACGAAGATTTTCATAATTGGAACCATATTTCTCGACACTGCGCTTTTCCTTAAATGGTTAGTGCCTGGGCTCTATGCAAACCGCTGCCCTTGTTTTTAACAGGCCTTGCCTTGCAAAACCCGCATCCTGAGATCACATGCCTGAGCGCTAAATAGAAAAAGGGGGAGAGAGGGGTTGCAGAGGTTAAGTACATCTTGCAAGAGAGAGAGAGAGAGAGAGAGAGAGAGAGAGGATGAACACTGATATCACTGCATTGGCGAAGCCGGAGTACCCGGTGGTGGACCGGAATCCCCCCTTCACAAAGACGGTGGCCAATTTCAGCACCCTCGACTACCTCCGCCTCACCACCATCACTGGCGTCTCCGTCACTGTTGGTTACCTCTCAGGTTCATATGCCTCACTTTCTCTCTCTACAACATTCCTCTCTCTCTCCCTCTCTACAACATTCCACACACTCTCTCTCTCTAGCATTTGTCAATGACTGTAACTTTGTCTTGAATTAGAAAGAAATCCCGTCTCGTTTTCTCTCGGATTTGTTAAAGGCTGATCTCTCTATCTCTCCTCTGTATCTCTTTCTCTCTCATGGATTCAGTCATTGTAAAATCGTGGGTGTTTTGTTTTCTGGTTCAGGGATTAGACCCAATATCAGGGGGCCATCGATGGTGACTGGAGGTCTGATTGGTCTAATGGGTGGTTTCATGTATGCCTACCAGAACTCTGCAGGTCGTCTTATGGGTTTCTTCCCTAATGATGAAGAGGTCGCTCGCTACAAGAAGTAGTCTTGCAAAACCCTATAATTTTTGCTGCAGTTTTCAATTGAGTAAGAGGAGAAATGTTGTAAACAAGTCTTTGATGAGCATGTATGGTTCAGTGCTAATAATTGATAATGGGGCTTCTTGGATTTTCGTTGATTCTGGTTTTGACTGGGTTATTTGGTTTGAACTTTGAACTGCTAGATGCTAGAATCTCATCCTTGGATAAGTGGGATTTGATTATTGGAATATATGTTGTCATTTGTTCCCCTGATAATGTTTGTGCAATGCTAGTAAGAGATGATAAATTTTGAAATTGTAAGATTATTTTGGCTTAATGGGGTTTGGTTTTATAAGAAGGACTTTTCATTTGTAATTTCCTACCCCTTCTCTTTCATTGAAGCTGGACTGGAAAAATCTAGAAGGACCTGCCACGGCATTCTATAATTTGTTGGTTTTTAAAATATAGACTGTTAATTCATGCCCCTAAGCAACTATACTTTGTAGATCCTCTTCTGTTTTTGGCTTAAAGAAAATCCCTATTCCCTGTGATTTTTATTGTTGGTTGTGACGCACCTGTGGTGATGTTACACGTATTCTGTGCTTGGCATCTGTTGGATTTTTGTTTTTATTTAAATTAGAGGCAGAGCTCAAAATGCTAGACATATATGTTCTGTTACATTGAAAGGCTGCTGTTACAGGCTTGTTATCATGTGAGACTATTACAAAATGAGTTTCTCAGAACTTTTTTGAGTCTTGGTGATCAGGATTTCTTGCTGTTGCTCAAACTTAATCCTTAAAGTTCTATCTGACTAAATAGGACTTTTTAGGTTTCATGCATCTTATACTTTATTTAGAACTATTGCTCAGGTCTTTAAGTGTGCATAACGAGGTTTCAGATTTTCAGCCTTTCTGAATCTGGATATGACCTATTGGTGAATATTTTACTTTAGATGAGATATTATGTCTTAAATTTTCAGATATTTAGTGGACTAGAATTCTGTGTCAGAAACTTTGGAAAAATAAATTGCCTCAAGACTTGGGATGTAATGCATAATTACCGGGAAAATAATTTCCCTCAAAAATCCAATTGCCAACCCTATGTTACCCATAGTTGTTACAATGTATGCAAACGGTTGCTTAGGTCCTAGGTTGTTTCTGTGTTTACAAAAGGCTTGCTTATGGTCTTAGGCTTTCTCATCTTGTTTCATACCCGTTTCCTAGTTTGGTTACTGTGTGATCAACTGGTTTTGGGTCTTTATTTAGGTTAGGAGATGCATGCAAGTATGCCAGTGAAAGAGGTATCTTATGTTGGAGTTATAAGGAGTTCTGAAGGTCCCTTGTCATCAGCATTTCCTTTGCCTGGTTAGAAGGCAATATGGCTCTCTTTTGCTTTGAAGATGTCCCTGATCGAAATCCTGATCGAAATCGAATCTCTTTTGAAGTATAGTGTTGTGAAAATATAATTATCCTAACTCATCTGCAGAATTTGAACTATACTTGGAATTTGCAACAAAGAGAGCAAATTTTGGTGCCCAATTAGCTTAACACTCATTAAGGATTGATTTTTCCCTTTTGAGCATTCTAATGAGCTTTCTTTTCAAATGATCCATGGGCTTTGTATTTGCTATGCAATCTATTAGATATTATGTGAAGAGCAACATTTTTTGTGCATATAGGAGGCGGAACGAAATTACATGTTCATGTTGAGGCTTACCAAATTTTTGAGATGCAGCTTCCTGCTACTTATGAGTGATGATCATTTTAAGATTAAGGGTACCATTGTGGTTTTGGGGTTGTGAAGAAGAAATCCAGATACTCAGGAGGGGCTCTATCACTTAAATGCTACAAACAAACGTCTAATCTGTCAAGATGAAAAGAATGCTTAACGCAATGTCTTGCTATGGTGGAATAACCTTTAGGCAGTACTAGGAGAATGCTCACTTGGTACCAAACAATGAAGAGGTACATCACTGGCCAGGTACTTCACCTGCCTTGACAAGGAAGTATGAGTGTTATTCTTGGTGGAGCGCCATGTAACTGAAGCTGAACTGCAACAGTATTTGATGTCATGTTTTGTGAAGTCAATATTCATTCTTAGCTCATTGCACAATCAAAGTCAATTCATAAATAAGTCAAGATGTATAGGATACATTAGAAATAACCTATGATCAAATTTTGGAAAAGCAAAAGTATAATCGCAAGATTTCATGTGGTTCATGAGAATCTTTAACCATATAATTGACTTAAGCCAAAAAGTTACCATAACTTTCATGGTTGATAATGTTTCTTTCTTATTTGATGAAAAGGGAGTCCGGGAAATTAAATCCGGTCTTCTTTTGATCTTAAACAAAGCAAAATTTTCAACAATAATGGAGGGGAAAATATGGCTGTAAGTCAAGCTATGGAGAAGAACATTTTTTCTTCATTCATAAATAAACTCTCTCCTTCAATAGGGCGTCCCCCTTCTATTTTGTACAAGCAATGAAAAATAAAATAAAATAAAATTGACAAGATATACATCTTTCTATCCCACTACAAAACTTTTAAAAAATATTTCCCCTCCTTTCTAAATTTCGTACCACCTATGTACTCAATCTCTAACTCTCTTATTTTTTCTCTCCTCAGATCCCCTTTTCTAGGTTCCCTCTCCCAAAACCACGTCTCTCTCTCTCTCTCTCTCTACTATTCATGTGCTTGCCCATCCAACAATAGAGGCATCACGTGACTTCCCCTCATATTACCTTTTCTAAACCTACTAACTTCCCCACAAATAAAGCACTCTACATAAATCTAAGCTTATCCCAACTATTAAGGAAAGGATCACGTTTACCCAAAAATAACATGAAACTTCCTAAGTACCCAAGACAATTAATAAAACTCCTTTTAACCATATCCCTAAAAATCAAAGTTTAAATAATAAATTAAAAAAATGTGTCAATTAGTTTAATTCTTGTAAGCCTCGATGCCATTTGCATCACACTCCCCGGGTTGAAAAAAAACTCGTCTCGAGTTTTTTCTATGGCATCATCGACTTCCCTTAGCTGATGATGAAGTCCAACATCTCCACACAAATGTTCAGGCATGAGATTGAACACTCTAAAGAATGAAGAAGTTCTCCATCCACCTAGCCAATTCTAGGACAAACATCCAAACACACTCAAATATGGGCGCACGGAATATGCTCTTCGACTAATTGTATCGGCCAATTGATTCCTTATGAAAGAAAGATCTTTATTCCAATCGGCTTTCTTCTTTTGAGGCTTCTTCTTTGTCTTGAACTCTTGTAATAACCATGCCTTGAGTTGTATGTTATCAATTTGCTTAGAAGGTTGCGACTCCTGTTGTAGATCTGACATGAGCCTCGTCATTTCATTGTATCCCATTCCCACGAGGCAAACATTACTATCAAGACATGCAGCTTTCAAGGTAGTTGACATGGTTTTGCTAAAGCTTGTGTAGCAAACTATCACATTAACTGTCTTAGAAAGCTTGTTATGGGGTGAATTCCCTTGTGTAGTTTCTAGAAGAGATTTTTGCTGCAATGATAGCATAAAATTCACATAACACTCTTTGGTTTTAGCAATTATTAAGCTCATGTTTTGTGGAGAATAATGATAGGGAAAAACTGTGTGAGTTTTTGTACTTTCCCTTTGAAAGTTATCACCAGCATCCTCCTTGCATTCTCCAACCATACAACTGGCATGTGTACAAATACTTTGTCGATCAACACCAAGGGCTACAAGCACACATCCAATAAATCCTTCCCATTCACATCGCAAACCAAAAAGTAGATGCTTAAAACTCATACATTTGTGCCCAAGCTGACAAGTTTCCCCAGGGAAAAATTTTAACACATCAAGAGAAATTTTCAAAACATGCGTAGCACATGGAGATGTTATCTCTACAGTGGCAAGATCATTGTCTCTTGCAATAATTTTCTCAATCTCTACATGAGCACCTTTCATGCTAGACATCAAGACTTTGATTGCAAAACCAGCCCCTTCACTTGTAGGGCCATATAAGATTTGTTCAGTTCCAACAAAACTGACAAAGGGATGACTCATATCTTCTTGTGCACACACCATAACTTCATTCACCCTTTTAATAAAACTCTCAAACAATTTAATAACTTTTTTCATGAGCCAAATGTCATCTATTTTCTCACTAGATTTAGGACCCTTTGTGTCTTTCAAAGCATCAACCTCTCTAGTGGAAAACTTAGGATTTTCATTTACAAAGAAATCACATGCCTTTCTCTATTTACTTGTACGATGCTTAGATTTTGTTGTAGGGACAATAACTCGTCGAGTTGGAGGTGTCGGTCTCTTAGCTTGGGATGATCCGGCTTTAGGGGTCAATTTGGATGTAGGAAAATTCTTTCTTGGCTCGCCTCAAAACTTATTTTGGTCTACTCCCCTATGCCAATGACATCGGCTTTGGGGTTATCAGTCACCCAACTTTTCACTGCATTCATGCTCCCTTCAATGCCGTGGTGCATCGAACCCAGAAGTGCGATCAAACATAACATCAGGCCATTCCCACTCAAAACTTGTGCTCTGATTTACGCTGACCTCTACTAGAACGCACACAATATGGATTTAACATCGTAGATCTCATCTTGTTCGATGAGTGATGTTGCAATCTTTCTTCTTGCGACAACTTTTCAACCATCTCCGTGAAGTTGTCGATTTTCTTGTTTATTTGATCATGCTGGGCATTCCTACGGTTGCGACCTCCATGACCATCCATCGTAGTCACTAACCCTTTCCGAACCATGCTCTGATAGCAAATGAAGGAGTCCGGGAAATTAAATCCAGACTTCTTTTAATCTTAAACAAGAAAAAATTACAACAATAATGGAGGGGAAAATATGGCTGTAAATCAAACCATGGAGAAGAAGAATTGTCTTTCTTCATTCATAAACAAACTCTCTGTAAAAATATCCAAGTCTCCTTCAATGGGGCGTCCCCCTTCCTTTTTATACAAGCAATGAAAAATAAAATTGACAAGATATACATCTTTTTATCCCACTACAAAACTTTTAAGAAATATCTCCCCTCCTTTCTGAATTTCGTACCACTTATGTACTTAATCTCTAACTCTCCTAGTTTCTCTCTTCTCAGATCTACTTTTCTAGAATCCCTCTCCCAACACCACGTCACTCTCTCTCTCTTTCTAATATTCACGTGGTTGCCCATCCAACAATAGAGGAATGTGGCATCACGTGACTTCCCTTCATATTACCTTTCCTAAACCTACTAACTTTCCCACAAATAAAGCACTCTACCTAAATCTAAGCTTATCCCAACTATTAAGGAAAGGATCACGTTTACCCAAAAATAACATAAAACTTCCTAAC